CACACTTTGGACCGCGAAGGGTTAACACACTCTGGATATTTTTCTATTTTCCTTTTTTAATGCCGCGTCCCTGCTTCACTCTAAAACGCAAAGTCCCAAAATGAGCACCACCGCAGGACTCCCATAGATAAGTCCGCCCTGCTGATCACGCCACTGCACCACCCAGATGCTTTAAAGCAACCCCCCCGGTGAAAGAGTGACTGGTAGAGGCTCATAGGGTGTGAGAGAGTTGGTGATAGGCAGCTAACATTCTCTTTGGCCATGGAGGAACGGTAGGGACGAACCAGCCGCGCGCCACAATTCCATAACGACCTCTCCACCCCTTTACATAGATAATGCCTGCCCCCCTCCCTCTCTCTCTCTCCCTCTTTCTCGTCGGCCGTCCAACTTCTGGCCCGCCAGAGCCACCTCCGGAAAGAATTTCCATATGAACCGTCCCGCTGGCATTCGTTGCTTTTCCCAGTTGCATTTTGCAGCACGTGCCGCCGCTCGCCTCTCCGCCATCAACCGAGCGGAACGCGTTTCTCGTTTCCCGCGAAATCGTGAAGATGCGCGCTGTTTCGCTGGATTAGTTGAAAAACCGGTCGAGGAAGTGTTAGGAAGAAATGATACGTGGAGTTTGTATTCTTTTTTTTTTTTTTTTTTTTTTTTTTTTTTTTGAGGAGATTTAGAAGATGTCAGTAGGCACTGATTGGTCAAAATGATCAGTTCCCCTCGTAACTGTATTGCTTTCTTTATTTTTTTACTTTAACTTATCACTGATGAAAATTCTTTAATGCTTTAATCGCCGATAGTTCTAGGGTTAATATAAGACGAATTCAGAAAAAATACAACTTTCATTCGTCTCGTTTGTAATTTCAATAATTCGTTCAAATTTCGATTGAAAGAACTGGACGAAGAAGCACAGTAAAAAGTGAATGGCACAGGTTTCGGGATTGAAAGATACGCGACGATGAGCAGGCACTCGCGATACTAAAATCGTGTTTTCGAAAAGGACAGGGGAACGTCGGCGTTTTGAAAAATTTCCATTTGATTTATTTGAGTTTCAGTTTCCGGCGGTTTGCTGAAATTACCGAGAAGCGGTGCTGACTCCTCGCTCTCTTCGTCTTTCGTTCGAGAAATATCCTGCCGCATTCCTTAAAGTTTTGTAATACACGTACAGAATGTTTCACGCAACTAGAACAAACTGTGGCTTCGAAACGGTGGAAGGCAGGAGAAAATTTCACCCGAAATTTCATACGTAGATACATAATGATGTTTCTGCGTCAGTAATATTAACATTCTCCAAAATATTTATCTATCTTTAATAATTGCAAAATCTGTGATCTCACTGCTTTTCTAAATTTCATCTTCCAGTGCTAGATTAATTAGTAGCAATTTTTTTCATATACACCAAACTCCTCGTATCTTCGTCTCTGTATTCGTTGCGAACAGAATGAAAAATTCTATTGTCATTAGTGATAGCTAGGCAACGGATATTTATGCAATTTTATATTTAGAAAATAATTAAAAAACACCACTAAAAGATTTTATATATATATATATTAAAATAGAAAATAATTAAAAAACACTACTAGAAGATAATTAAAATATATATATACAATATAATAGAAGATAATTAAAAAAATATATATATATATAGATAATATAATTTATATATATATTAAAATAGAAGATTTTTAAAATTAAATAACACTAGAATTAAAAAATTAAATAATTAAAAAACACTAGAAAATTATTGTAATATATATATATATTATATATATATATATACTAAATATTTATATATATAAAAATTTATAAAAACATAAATATTAAAAGTAATATTGTATTTCACACATACCATTTGCATTTCCTCTAAACGCATAAAAATCCGCAGTTTAATAATAACGAAACGAGCCAGCTGCAATTGTTCTTGGATGAGCTGAAGCAATTATATTAGCAGCGTTCAATACCGATCGCCTACAGAGTTATTCGCAATTCGCTTATTAAATGTAACAGCTAAAAGAAATAGCCTGAATTCAACCAAGCCGGAGAAAGGCAGCCCCTCGCAACTCTTTTCCCGCAAGTTAATACCTCTGGCTGCTCTTCAATTCGTTCCTTTCATTCCTCGCATTCTCGGCTAGTCTGACGGAGAAATTTCCATGTAGATCTTTCATCTTGCGCTCGTTGCTTTTTCGAATTGCGTTCCGCGACGGAAATTACGCGACGAGTGCGAGAGGAAGGTCGACAGAAACGTCTATCGTTTATTAACCCCCCACTCGTTTCTTTCTGTCAATTTGACACGTTTCTCGCTTGCGAGTTTTCTACGCGGTTTTTAGTTACATTTCTATTTCTCTAAATTGTTGAATTAAAATAAACTCATATTCAAGAAGATGTATCTTTGTTCTTGGTATGGAGACTTTCGTCTATTCGTAGGTATTGTTTTGCAGCGAGTAAATAGATACAGCATACATTTTTGACACTTTTGATGGTAAAGAGTTGCAAATTTTGATATTCTTGCTGTTTGTTTTCAACTCTCTCTCGAACGGCGTTAATTATCTTCTAATTATCATCCCACAATCAGTACAGTAACATTTTGAAAATGCGACATTTGTAGTTTGAACAGATTGAAATCCAGGAAACAAAATGATCATGATGTTGGAGAAAATTAGAGAAGAATCACGATATAAAATTGAATATTATATTGAATATTATATAATATAGCAGTTGAACGCAACTTTAATCCATTTATGAGCCAATGAAAGAGTTTGCAAGTTTGTCTTCAATAATTATTCACCATTGTGTCGATCTGGTGCCAGAAAACAAATTGAAAAACTGAGAAAAACGAATAAGTTATTGTCACGTAAATGTTTATTCGCAGGGAACAATTTACGTTGCTTTTTGGAGCGATAAAAGAATTAATTTCTCCAGCCAGAAGTGTAAAAATTGTCAATCAAAAAGTGCAGCACGAAAAATGGCACGAAATAACTTCATCGAGTGAAAATCAATTTTCGATAGTGCAGTCAATCAGTGAAAAACGAAGCTCCATGAATTTAATTGTATTGTTCATCTAGACCGTGAAGAACACGGCGGTATAGAGAGAATATACACAATAAGCGAAAATGTACAAAATACCCGAGATAAAATGCTTTTCCTAGAATTTGAAGTGAGTAAAACAAATGTGTAAAATTCACAGTTTTGTATACTTGCGATTCAGAAGAAAATCTGAGTATTTTGCATAAATATCTCCAGTCTGTTTTTTCCTTTTCTTTTTCAAGTTTATAATCGCAGGTTATTGAGATTATTATCATTTGGTGAATATTAACTTCGATATAATATAATGCAATCAATTATTTTCATTACATAATATAATTTAGACATTGAAATTAATTCAAATAAATACCAAAACAAAGTCTTTCTTCTTCGGCTAATCACTCTTGGTAAGAGAGAAATGCAGTTTATTGCATGTGTGTGTGTGTATATATATATGGCGCCCGATTCGATTCCCCGAAGTGGCAAATAGCAAGACAATTTCGTCGTCTGATTATACACCGCGTTTACTTCGGATAATGCCACGCAGTGTAAGTATATTTGTATAACCGAGTGAACGCGAGCGTTTGAACAAGTGGCACACACGATGTAGGCGATGTAGCCAGTTATAGTTGCAACAGCTGCGTTTAAGCGACACGGTATTTGCGAATTCTGCGGAAGGATGCACAGGCATCCAGTCTACCCGTTAGATTAGAAATGTAGTTTTCTGCGTACGAGCCGCGAGTGTTGCGCCCGATCGTCTTAATTAACCCGAGTTCACTCGTTTATTATCACCACGGCGAGTGTCCGATTGTAAATGACGTGAATTCTAATTTGAACTATAAGCACGTTATAATTTAATTGTCGGGTTAATCATAACCTGCAGCTAATTAGCGTGTTGTTGTATCGTTTGTGACGTTCCCCAGGGGATAATATAAAGCACCACCGTGCCACCGCATATTGTAAGAAGATTATGACGATGACGTGGGCAAAGCGAAGTCTAAAAGTACGCACCGATTATTAGCGAAATTGGCCGCGGTTGTTCGTACCGTGGTGAGTTCACTAGCCTTTCGTAAATTCGTATTATCCAGCAGTTTAGAAATTGAAATTTGGCCAAAGGTGACATAATTAGAACGAAATTCTCGGCGGTGCTATCAGAGCCACTGAAACCAGAATTATTACTTTGCTCAAACGATGCACGCGATTTCGACAT